TTTTTTTTTCTTTCTTTCTTTCTCTCTTTTTAACGACTAGATAAGTTCAATCTTTCCGTCGATCTGCGAATGTCAAAGAGCAAGGCGACTGACCAGCTTGGATACGCTTCGAAGCAGATTCTTTTCACCTAGATTCAAAGTCCGCGATCGAGGCATCCTTTGAAACCCTTTAGGCGACGTGGCATCGCTCTTTCAAGTCGTTCGTCGAAGCGAGGATCGAACTAACATTCTCGGTGAGGGGAAACATTCACAGCAAGACGGCAACGCGCGACAGAGGGGAGTGAGTGACATAAAGTTTTCGGTACGGCCGCGTGTTCGTGAAGTATCTTACAAGCACGTCGGGCCGTGTTTGAACCCTGCTGCGTTCTGCATTCTGCGGCGTGTTTCTCATTAAGAATCAAGAGAAATCTCTCACGAAATGCTCGAACAGGATGCGTGACTTTTTGTCTCCTTGTCGACACTTTCTCGACGAGGTCTCGTTCGACCGATTGAATCACTTGAACGTTTCGAAGACCGTAGCAGGGTCGAATAAAAATGGCGTCAACATCGAATGAGAAGATGACATTCAACCCTCTGCAACTGAGCCGAGCTTAACTTGAAAGTGAGAAATTTATTTCGCTTGCTTGTTTGCATTCTTTGTAATAATTTATCTTAATTGCGTGAAAGAATATTGAATAATGGTGGAACTATATTTATAGTAGGACGTGTAACAGTTTATATTGTAATAATAATAATAATTGGAGTTTATGATCATGGCATAATTCGAGATATAGAAACTCAAAATAGAGACGCACAGTATAATTTGTATAATCAGAGTTAATAATAATAATAATAACCTCTTCTCCGATTTTTCGCTCACGTTCACAAGAGTTTCGAATTTAAATAAATCAAGCTGAATCAGGACGGGTTCACTCAACCGAGTATTGAATTTCAACTAAATGAACTTTCACACAAACGAAGTTCTACCGTGCAGTTATAATTAATTAACAATTTCTTTCCTCTTTTGAACAAAAGACTGTGCAGACGTCTACGCAATTTCATAGTTTAACGAACGCGAACTTTTAATCTAAAAAAGAAATTTGCTCTCGAATTGTTCCATCTGTTAAACAGCAATCTGTGTGTTGCATTTTCATTGGCGGTGAGCGAACTTCCGGCTGCAGAGGGTTAAACGTGGATCATCGAGAGATCGAGGGGACTTGCCGCTTGTAATTCGGATCCTCGCAAGAACGACGACGGCGAGCTGTTGTCCAAAGATCGCGGCAGATATTTATAATGCGAGCCTTGTAGGATCGTTCGAGCACACCGCTGAATAATATAATAATAAAAACGAGCTGATCGATACGACATCACGACGAATGTCAATCAAATAACACTGCAGTCCAACATCAAGTAACAATATCGAAATATGTAATATGTATATATAATATATATATATATATAGATAATATATATATGTATATATATATATATATGTATATAAATATGACGTATGACGTCCAAGACCAGCGCATCGCAGAAACGATTACGGGTATCAAGGGTATGGCATTCTCTGACGGAAGGTAAGAACGAAGACAAGAAAGAGAAAAAGAAAAAAAAAAGGAAAAGAGGAAGAAAAGGGAACGAAGGGAACGAAAGAAAGAGAACGAGAAACAACGGGAAAAAATTATGGAACGAAAGTGTCGAAACGAAAAGGAGGAAGAAGTAGTTGGGAGGACCGATCATATATTGACGAGCAAAAAGGTTCAATCTGGCGATCGTGCTCGTTGCTTGTTGCGTGGCACCTTAAAACCGTCATAGGTCCAGGAGCCTAACTTCAAAACACAGGTCTGTACGTCGTACGGAAAGAACTCAACGTCGATGGAGCAGGAGGATTTATATACGGCCGGCGGTTGCCAGACGACTATTCCCGAATGGTAGACCGTGGCCTTGGTCATCAGCGTCACCTCGTAGTTCCCGTCGGCGCTGGAATCACCGAAGAAACGAGCCGAGCGTGATCACGATTGGCTCCTCTTTGAAGAGCATCGGATGCTGCCGCTACGCGACGTTATCTCTCTCATTCTCTCTTTCATTCTCTCTCACTTTTCCTCTCTTTCCCTCACCCTCGCACTATCTTTCTCACCCCTTCCAATCGAATCAAGCCGAAAAAGCCCTCGCATCAATCGCTCGGATCGCGTAATTTCGCGTCCTCGCTTACTTATCCTTCGTTTCTCTCTCGTCATCCTTGTGATTTCTCTCCCACCCCGATTCTCCTCTCTGCCGATTCTCGTGCTCTCTTTCACTCACTCACTCACTCACTCACTCTCTCTCACTTTCGTCGTCGCGTGTTACCGCGCGTACTAGCTTTTTCTTTCTTTCTTTTTTTTCTATTACACTACGCGTTTTCACGAGACGGTCTCGCAGAGAAGCTGGCAGCATCCGTCTCCTAGCGTGGGTTTCGGCTCTCGTTCATTTCGAGCGGCGACGTTCCTCTTTTCTTTTCTCTCTCTTTCTCTCTCTCTCTCTCTCTCTCTTCCTCTTTCTCTCTTTCTTTGGAAAACGCTCAATGGAAATGCGTCATTCAACCGAAAAAAAAAGAAGAAACGGACGCGTCTGCGGTCCGTCGTTCGCGGAGTTGAGAAATCCACGCGACGAG